CTCTTATGTCTCTCTCTTCCTCTTATCTCCATTGCAATCAAACATATTAATAGTTTTTTTAGATTTTTTTTCTAAAGGAATATTGATCTTTGGAGGAGATAAAGATGTATGGATCTTCCCAGAGTATTTAGGAAATTACTTTGAATTTGTGTGTTACATAAAGTCAAGGCTTTGTTCATTTGTAGCAAATTCTTTAGAAAATAAGACAAGTTTTGCTACCTAACACTCCATGAATTTTAAACTATTTTTCTATTTTAATTTTCCTCTAAGTAAGCTTATCTTTTTAAACCTAGGCGACTACTTCATTTTGGATGTTTGAATGTTGATTTGTCCTTGGTTGCATAAATTGGACCATCCATCCTCCATGGATTTAGTTATTTTCTTCAAATGTATTTTAGACTATCTTAGATGTTTTTATCTTGCTTGAACTTTCCTTGTTCTTTTGTGACTTGTTCTCACATGAGATTACTTGTTCTTCTTAGATAAGCTTTGTTCAATAATTTTAACTTATTGATCAAGTCATTTTTTGATATCTTATTCTCTTTGCTTGTGCTTGTTTCACCTTATTCCTTTCTTTAGTTTTTTTTTTCCTTATCTTATCTTCTTTAATCATAGCTTTTTATCCAATTTGACTTGATATTCCCCCTTTTTTAGTTTATATCCTAATCATAATTTTTATTGATTATTCGTTTAAATCTTGGTTCTAATTTAGTCCAAATTATATGTCCATTCTCTACCTTTTTCTACGATAAACTTGTTTCTTTCTTTAAATAATAATTGAGTTTTAATTCACATTACTATTACAAGATTTTATTTACTATTCATTAAGACTTGTTGTTCTATGTTATTATGATTGATGGAGTCATAATTAAATTATTATTTAATAATATTTTGCTACCATTTAGAGGTTAATTATTTATATTTTTGCTTAAATTATTGGCTAAAATTGTAAAATAATAAATATTGTTAATTTTTAACTTAATAAATATTTATAGCTTTCAATCAAATTTATAGGATAGTTAATCTAATTTATGATTTTTATGGTTTATAGGACCATTTACAATGAAAAAAAAAATGCTTGACAGAAGTCAAGAAATACAAAGTTCAAGAGTTGAAAAACTGAAGCTAAGCGTTGTAACAACCAAAGTGAGTGTTCCAACACTTATTCATAGAATAATAGAAATTCAACAGACAATTAAGCATTTACACGATGGTTTAACAAAAAAGAACAAATGTGCTTTTAGACTTTAAGTGTTTCAATGCCTAAGGCTCGAGTTGCCAATAATTAGTGTGCCTTTCAATACCCAATATAAGTGCCTCAATGCTAACCTCCACTTTAGAAATATTGAGTAAAAGTTTTCAAGTGTCTCAGTGCTCATTCCAACGTCTCAATGCCTAACATGACTCAAAAGCCTATAAATAGATGTCATAATGATCATTTTTCATATATAGAGTTCATTTTTACTTTTCTACTTTAGGGTTTATATTTTTTTTTCCTCTTTTCTCTCATTTTTATTTTCTTCCTAAGTGTTTGAAAGAATTTTTTGTGACTTTCTAAATTATGTATAATGTTTTATGAGTTTTGTTAACTTTAACTTTTAGAACTGAGGATAAGTAACTAATAATAGTAAAATTTTATTAGAAAGAGAAGTATTTATTATACTTTTATATTTTCAATACAATAATTGTGTACTTTTTTCATAAAAAAATTTCTATTTGTGGATGCTTAAACTCAGCCCTAAAGATTGAGGTTAACAAAATTCATATTTTATTATATCATTTATTTTTATTTGTAATGTGTTTCGTACATACGTATGCCTTTTTTTTTATATTAAGATAAGATAAATTTTTATTTACCTCTCTTATATTATCAATAAAATCTCATTATTATTTACTTTTTCTCTCAAAATTTGATTGAATTATTCTGAGTTTAAAACTTTCTTTGCCTTGGCTAATTAGGATTAATATAAGACTTGATTTTGTTATTGAAAAATTGGCTTTAAAGTCTAAATTGAGTAATTCAATATAGTTGTTGTAATATTGAGAAATCTGTCAATGATTGTGATATTTTTTTTTTTTTGAGTGATTAAACTATGATGCATGTTTTGATTTGGTTAGCTTAAGACTTTAGGGAATTTATTTCGTTTGATATGAAGTCTCCAACCAAGACATTAGAATTTATTTTAAATTAATGAACTCAATAAATATAAAATATATATGATAAATTTTAGTATAAGAGATTTTAATTCTAATCACTTTTGTTAACTGCATTTTTTTAAAACTGTGTGTATGTTTGTGTTTGTTTATTCATTGATAAAACATAAAAAACACTTTACTACTTTTTTATTTAGTTCTCTACATAACATAGCATTTTTCTTTGATGTTACCTCAAATAGAAAATCAAAAAAGGATTATTAGTAGTTTGATCCAATTTTTTTGAGAACAATACATATATACTCATTAAAATGATTGATGCATTTGTCATTGCTATTTGCATTTGTAAACAAATTATTAAAAGTATCGCATCAATATCCTATTATTCTTATTTTAAAAACGTTGATTTTTTTCCTTTTAGAATAACCTTAAAACAAGATAATGAATTCTTAATATTAATATTTTACTAAATTTATTAAGTTACTGTTAAGGTCTCAGAAAAATAGAAAACTCATATCATAGAAATTTAATAATGTAAAATATATGCATGTCAAGTATAAATAAAATAATTTAGTAACTAATTTTATGGAGGTATTACATGGCCCTCCTAGTATTAAAGCTTTCATGTGAAAAAATTTTCATAGTTGGCTATTACCTAATCAAGAAAGAAGAAATAGATATCTCATTTCATATGATTTTTTGCCTAACAAGTAATCAATTCCCTTAATTTATCATGCATACTCTAAAAAATTATAAGGTACTTGGTAGTTTTTGGAATCATATTATTGATCAAAAGTATTGGAGATCTTTCTTTAGCTTGTATTTAACTTAATGGTTTGACAACAACTTCAAGTCTACATGCAAGAAGATACAAATATATGATGCATCACCTTTTTTATTACATATTGATATTTATAGAAGTTGCGAATTAATTTTTTAGAGAAGAATCCATATCAAATTTGATCTCGTAGTTAATTTATATACATCTGTAGCCTAGTTTTTAATTCTCCTGCAAGTAATCAAGATGTTAATCCTTTCAAGGAAAGAGAGAAAAAATTCATGGGGTAAACTCTTTCTAAGGAATACACTATAAAAAATAAATGTGGATAGATTAGGGAGACACTAGTTTATAAGAGTCTCCACTATAATATTGGTATATGCTCATTTATCCAAGATGAACTCATGGATATTTGGTTTGACATCTAATTGACTGAAGCCATTAAAGTCAAAGATTTCATTACAAAAGTCAATTCTCGAATTGCCTTAGACTTTGTTTAGAGAAATTTTGTTTTGCTGAATACAATTATTCAACTCTTAGCTGAAACATTCAAGAACTATTGAGACCTATTAAAATACTAGTGTTCAACACTCGTCTTTAATACTTGTTCAGAGAAGAAAATTTTGTTAGGAATCATCTAGTTAAATAGGCCATTCTTAGTCTTATTGAATTTGATTGGTGTTTCTAGTCTTTATCTTCCATTATCAATAGGAACAGTTAAGGAGATTTATTTTCGTAGACTTGTTTACATTGTATGATAATTTTTCTTTGGACATTTTGCCTTATTAAATATTAAAAAATACAATAAATATAAAAGAATTGCTTTTTACACTTGTTTTTTTTTCACACTCTTATTAAAAACTTTTATAACTATTTTCTTTAAAATATTCTTTATGATGTTAAAAAAAGCACCTTTATAAATATATCATTTTGTACTTTCAAAAAATAATTTTAGAAGTATAAAATTTTAAATTTGAAACCTTATTTCTAGAAATGCAAAATAAATAAATTTAGAAATGGTTAATAAGTTCATAAAATAAATTTTGAAAGTGTAAAAGCTTAATTCCATAAATTAATTTTCAGAAATGTAGAATTTTATTTTCATAAATATTTTTTGAAAATAGTTCATAATTCTAGAAATTAATTTCTAGAAACATAAAAAATTTATCCCAAAAATTAATTTTTGAAAATATAGAATTCTAATTTTGAAAACTTATTTTTAAAAATGATTAATAATTCTTAAAATTAATTTTCAAAAGTGTAAAAACTTAATTCCAAAAATTAATTTCTAAAAGTATAAAATCGTAATTTTAAAAATATTTTTTAGAAATATTTAATAATTTTATAAATTAATTTATAAAAATGTGGTAACTTAATTATGATTTTCTCACTTTTAAACATCACTCAAATGAAATTTTTCTATTAACTATGTTAAATGTCTTAATTACAGTCATAGTCTTCGCTCTTCGCTCTTAGCTATTATTACACCGTGTTATTTTTCATTCTACATAGTTGGAAAATAAAAAATAAATAAAAATTATATATTTTGAGTTAAAAATTGACAAAAGAGATCAAGTTTACTTAAATTTAAAATTAGAGAGACTTGTTACTGCGAAAGACAATTTGAAGAAATAAAATCCCTAATAATTTAATTAGAAGAAAAAAAGATAAAATTAAATAAAAAGAAAACTAGAGTACACATATACCCCAAGATCTCATAAAACTTTACTTAATATTCTTTCTTTATTAACCTTATAAAATTCCCTTTCAATTAAAAATAATATCACATACCTTTTTGAATGATATAAATTTCCTTAATTTTTATGTAATTATATAGATAAAAAACAATATAGAAAATATTAATTAAAATTTTGTTAAATATAAAAGAATGTGAATATTGTTTATCCTAAAAATAAAGTATTTTAATGAATCATATATGACAATCTGGAATTGCGGTTGGAACAAATTTACTTTTTACGTCCACACTACTAATGAGATTTTATCTTTGTCCCTTTCGCATTGAAGATATGACACCATATATATTCTCCCAATTTTTTCTTTCGAGACTTCTCTTTCTCTCCTTATTGGTGGAGAGAGAAACAGACAGAGGAGAGAGAGAGAGTAACAAATACCTGTTTTGTATCTCTCTCTCCTATGTCTGGGCACAAATCTTCCTCCCCTTCTTCTTCCTTCTGACCCTTATCGAATCAGAAGAAGAAACTAAAGAAGAAAAAGAAAAAACGAGGGAGAAGCTTCTGCAAGCTGCCAATTTTTTTCTTTTGTCTGTCTGGGTCAGAGAGGGTTGTAATTGTAACCATGTATTCCTCGTGTGTCTCAAACGGTGCCGTTTCTGGGTTCCAACGTAAGGAGTCAATGGTTGACCCTTTCTTGGTCGAGGCTCTTCAGAACCCTCGTCACCGTCTCACCAGTCAGTGTTCTCTCTTTCTGTCTCTTAAATCTTAATTTCGTGTCGTATACCATTTTCGTTGTCGTTTTTGATTTTAAGTTGTTTCGGTTTTTTCTGTTTGTTTATTATTGTTGTGCTGCTTTTTTTTTTTTTTTTAATTTGGGATTTTATGAGGTCAATTGTTTTTGTTTTTGGTTTTAAATTTATTATTGGGGGTTTGGGATAAGTTTATATTTTGTCAGATCTGGAATGCTTTTGGTAATTTCCCTATATAATTGTGTTAGTTGATATTACCATTGGAATTAGGACTATGAATGTGATGTTTAACATTGGGGAGGTTCTATGGGAATGAGAAATTTGGATTTCCTGGTACTTTGGGTGAAACCCAATGGTGATCAGGTGTTGAGTTGGAAAATGTTTCTCGAACATCCTAAGCGGGACATCCCTTTAGATTTTAGGGAGTTTTTCTCAGATGGATTGTAGAAAAAGAGGTAAGAAAGAAATACAGATAATTGTATATGGTGTCAATTTTAGATGTTTAAATAACAAAATTGGTTGAATTTCAGCCATATTTATGTTACAGAAGTTTGGTTTCTGATAGAGCATGATGGCATCATCTGATCCGTATAACGGATTCCACCTACTAGCATAAGCTTGGTTATTGTAATATGATCCTTAGTTCACTGAAGTTAACTTTATTCTATTGTTGGTTTTCTTCCCGAAGTTTTGGTCCTGTAGACTGTGTCAGGAACAGAGCCTAAGTTATTTTCCTTGTATATTTGTGTATATGTCTATAACCTACATTTGGTTGGGCCTTGAATGGTAGAGGACTATTGGATTAGAAGATTGGAGTTTTATAGGAAATGAAGAGGTTTTTCTTTGATGATGTGGTTGATAAGATTCATTTTGTTATGACTATAATTTTCCCTACGATATCTTTTGTAGCTGTTTTGGTATATTTATTTAGTTTTGCTCCATTTTTTCATTTTATATCATGACATTTTCCTTTTTCAATATCTACCACTTTGTTAACTATAGTTTTGCGGATGGAGCTGGATATCCAGAGGTTTCTGAATAATGCTGATCAGCAGCATTTTGAGTTTCAACATTTCCCTTCTTCTTATCTCAGATTGGCTGCACATCGTGTTGCTCAACACTATGGTATGCAAACAATGGTTCAAGATAATGGCCTAGATGGCCAGGGAACTAGAATTATGGTAAGAAAATTAGCAGAAAGCAGGTATCCTATGGTCTGCTTATCTGAAATACCTACCAAACAATTTGAAAATGATAAACCTGAGCTTATAAAAATTGCCATAAGGCCTAGGCCTAATAGCAGCAGTTTAAATGAAGCCAATGAACCTGGGAGGAAAAGCAATCCTCTTAGAAGTGTGGAAGAGAGGAAGGAGGAATATGATCGGGCACGAGCACGCATCTTTAGTAGCACCACAAGTTGTGATGCAGGTGGTACTCTGTCTCAGGTCTCAGTGGATGAGAAAATTTCTTTCGTAAGCAAGGATGAGACTGAAACTAGCAAGAACCCCGTGGCTGAATCAGAAAAATGCACTAGTAGCAGGGATAATAGTTCTACTCGAGTTGCCATCTTCAGAGATAGGGAAAAGGATCGTAGTGATCCAGATTATGATCGTAGCTATGGAAGGTTAGTTCTATCACTTTACTATGCTATTTGTTTGAGAGCCTTCTTGGCAATGGTGAAGTTGCAAATATATGGTTGTATAGCCTTTTTGTTGTGTTGTGCTTACTCAGAATTAGAAATCTGTATTGTATTATGTATCTGTTTCAAAATTGGCACCTAAACTTACCACTAAATTTATAAATATTTTATTGTAATAATTATTAAAAAAATCCTGAAATTAATGAGTGGGTAGAGGTATTTACTAGTTAGTATATGGGATAGTCTGATAGTCATCAATAGCATGCAATAGCAGCACTATCACAACATAGTGTTGTGTTGTAGCTGGCCCCTGGTACAAACTACATTATTGACTGTTTGTGTTGTGCAATAGCAGTAGCACCCGCAATCGCACTCGAAATTGTTTCGATATGGGGTTGTTGCAGCTGCTATTCTGAAACTGGGATAAACCCCCTTTATCCCTCTTGTTGGACAATTTTTTGGGGTTATTTGTTGGTGATTTCACCCTGCTTTTCATAATCATATGCGTAGTATTCATGGTACCTTATTCAACACTTTATTCACGCAGTATGCACTGCTCTGAGCTCTCTAACCTTTTCAACACAAACCATCAACACATGGCACATGTAGTGTTGTTTCCAGGCAAGCCTGGTATTTTCCTGCAAAGCCTGGCCTACCTACTTTCAGTTCTCGCGGAAGCCTTCTAAGTAGAAGAATGGTCTGTGCCCTTCCTCTGCCTTTGTTCTATTGCACATTCTTCTATTTCCCTTTTTTTTTTTTGTCCTAACTCTTATTTCTGTTCCACTGCCAACCCATCTGTTCTATCTTCATGTTATGTTATGATTCTCCCTCTCTCTCTCTCTCTCTCACTTCATTGGTCACCCTTGAAGCAGTCAGTGTCATCCACTTGGAGGCTTACACTCATTTAATTTCTTGACTTTTATTGTTATTAACTTGTGTGCTTAGGAATGTGACTTCTGATTATTAATTATGAATTTATCTTTCACATTAATTTTTTATTTTGGAGCATTTATATGTGTTATTTAAGTTATTAGCTTATATTGGAATAGGGGTCATCCTCCTATCCTGCTATAGTGATTTTGGAGTTGGCTGGTCTACATTGGTATTTGAGATTGATAACTATGGTATATGGAGAGAGGGTGAAAGGATACTGAACAGTGGATACAATGGAGCTTAATAAAAATTTTAATGCGACATCACAGGAGGTGTTAGCCTTTGATAGAAACTGGTATCTTTATTAAGAACTAGAAGAAGAAACTCCCAACTTTAAAGAAAAAACAAACACACTCAACAGTTCTTCAAGGGACTGCACCTCCTAAGTCAAAGGCCCTATCTCTCTCACAAATGACAAGCTAACCCCTCTCTCTTCCTCCCTCTTATTTATAGAGGCAATATGCCTTAATTCTTCTACAATCCCAACCATCCCAAATTACTTACTAATTAAGGCTAACTAACTAATATACTATAACTAACTACTCATATGTCCCTAACTAACATCATTGCTAACTACTAATGGGGGTTACTTAACACTACTTCCCTCCTAAAGTTTCACCTTGTCCATAAGGTGAAGGATTAAGTAACTGCCTTGAGTAGTTGCTAAAATAAAGTCCAATTGATTGAGGCATGATAACCATTCCAATTCCACCTTGCAGCCAAAAATAACTTCCATTCCTCCTGGGTCAAACACAAACATATAAATGCATCCATTCTCTTCCAACACTTTGTTTTCTTTTGTATCTTTAGTCCTGAAACAGAGTATCATTGCCTCTGCCTGCATGTGTACTGAGAACCCAAGGTTCTATTGAGAATTGCACTATTGCTAATGGCAGAAGCCAATGATTATCAAAGTTCTTCACTACCTTCTGTTGGGTCTGGTCTTTTATGTCAAGAATTCTATTTCAGAAATTCCCTTTTTGTCATCAACTCAACTGAATATGCATCACCTATCTCTGCAATCTCTTCTACAAAATTATTGGTTCCCTGTTCCTCAACTGCTGGCTTCTTCTCTGTTTGTGTCTTTGGATGCTCTTTTTCCAAGTCTTGGGTCACCTTTCATATTGCGTTCCATCAGTTTTTTGAATGCTGTGATGATCTGTTCATTTGTTTCTGGCTGCATCTCATCAAATTGCTTCTCCAACTTCATGTTTGAATTCATTTTCTTGCTTTACCCAACTGTGTTTCAGGTGATTTTTATCCAAGAACATGATATTCTTTCAAGAATCTCACACAGCTCAACCACTTGAGTGATGAAAATTTACAAACACTCCAGGTTGAAATCGACTGTTATAAGGTTGAAAGCAAGAATTGAGATATTGCCTCAGCCACAGCTCTGAATAGGAGCTCTCATACCAGTTGATAGAAACTGGTATCTTTATTTATAAAAAAAATACAAGAAGCTCCCAAATTTACAGAATAAAGAGCACACTCAACAGTTCTTTGAGGGACTGCACATCCTAAGCCTAAGGCCCTAACTCACAATTTACAAGCTGACCTCTCTTTCTTCGTCCCTCTAATTTAGAGAGGCAATATGCCTTATTTCTTCTACAATCTCAACCATCCCAATTACTAATTATTGAAGGCTAACTAACTAATATATATTATAACTAACTACTACTATGTCTGTAACTAACATCATAGCAAACTACTAATGGTGGTTACCTGACAGCCTTAATGCCGTATGGTAGTATAATAAATTATTTCTGTAAAACATTTGGGGTTTGCCTGAGTTATTATGCTATGCTAAAATCCTGTAAAGTGAGTATAGAAGTTGTCCTTGTATGAGAGGAATGGGAGAGTAATGGATGACAATCTGCTGTTGATTTGGCATATTTTATGACATAAATCAGATTCACTGATCGCAGTCTACATTCAAGAACTTACATTTGTGATACTTATAGATGTCATCTGTTTTTTCTCCTTCAAAATCTTTTCTATTTATTTGGCAGTTGACTTTTTTTTTTAATTGGGCTTTAATTTTTGCTATGAAGAGTTTGTTTATTTATCTCATTGTATCACATTGCTGATATAGGTATGCTAGGGGTATTCCAACCTCTTCCCTCAATTTTATGCCCTATAATTTGCCACAAGTTCAACCTTCATTTGCTCAGTATGACGCTACTTTTAATCAGCTGAGTCATATGTCACAAAATCAAGCTTCACTTGGCTATGGATCTCCTTCAAGTCCTGTAATGAATCCTTTTGGTGTCACGGGATTGAATCAGGCATCTAGGGATGCTACTTACCCACAGTGGCCAAGTGCTGCAATGATCTATGCACATTCATATGATCAATTTAGACATGCTGTTTTCCAAGTAAGCAACAGTTAATTTAATTCCACTGCATTGTTGAATGTGACAAGCGGTTTTTATATTTTTTTCTTTAAAATTCCAGGGCATGCTAGATTTAAATCTATAACTTTTATCTTTATCAATTTTTTGTTTTGTGGGTTAGGCTGATATGACATGTAAAAGTGCAATAGCTCATTTTTTTTTCTTCAGATAACTGCTTATTTGGGGTTTCTTCTTTCAGCTTTTATGTCCTTTGATATATTGCCTTTACAGTCTCTTAAATTCATACCTCATATTGCTCATAGATTTGCGTTGTTAGGCCTTTTTGATTTGTTTGACTCATACTAGTCAAATTGTGCTGGGAAAGATGGTGTACGAAGGATGAAATGTAGTTGTAGTGTTTTATTGATGTGTTTTGCTATAGAATGTTGGGTATTGTGTAATGCGCAAAGAATGATTAAGTGTCAGGGTAGGTTAATGAATTTGTTTCGCTTCAGATTGTTGGAATTCTACTCTCTGACAAAGATTAAACCATGTTGTTCTCTTAGATGTTTGTATAATTTAGTTTATTTTCTAACATGTATATTATCTATATTTTTGTTGCTTTGCAGGCTCCGTTTGGTCAACAGCCATTGAGCTTTGATTATTCACAGAATTACTAGATGACGTCTAGGGGTGCGCTTTTCCATTTGGATGTAGAAGTTACTTTAGCTATTAAGGATTGCAGATTAGATACAATTTTTTCTGTACTGTCATAGACCCAAAGTTCCTGTTTTGGTTTTTCAGTTTTGATGGGGGTAGTAAAGCATTTGGTGTTTCCTACTTCTAGTGACATTTTGATACTGGACTCTGGTGAATTACTGGATTTCAAATGCATGAAGAGTACTTATTTCTGGTTACCTTGTCTAATGTTAGGGAGGCTTTTTATTCTAAGCTTGTGCAAACTATCCCGTAGATGGAAATGAGTGAAAGCTGGTTTGGGCGTCTGTGTGGGCTTATCCTTATAGGGAGCTTTTGGCATAGGAGGAATAGATGGTGCAATCATTCGAAGGGCTTTTTTTCGTTACCTACTTTGCATTTTCAAAAATCTGTCTTAAATAAATAATATTATGTAATTCTTTTTAATGTTTGAGATAAAGAATAATAATAAAATAAAATATAAACATATAAAAGTAATAATATTACACTTTTTTTTTCAAAATTAATATATTTTTTTAAAAATATTTTTTATTAATTTTTTTACTTTCTATATATATATGTGTGTGTGTTAAAATATGCTAATTTTATTTCTTTTTCATCATTAAAATTTATATATAGGTAAGAAATTATAATTAAAGCAAAAATTTATACAAAATTTATAGAATATATTTTACAAATGGTTAAAATATTTTTTACAGATAATTTTTAAAAAATAATTTTCTTAAAAAATTATCAATTTTCAAATAATATTTTTTATTAAAATATTCATATAATTTTTTTAAGAAAATATTAAAATTATGTTTTATTGAATAATTATTTTTTATAAAATATTAAAAAGATATAAAGTATCAGTAAAAATATAATAGAAAGAAAGTTATCACTTTCTAATTTATCAGCTTCATTGAAATAAAAATTTGAACTAGATAAGTTCTACTCTTTAGATTAACGGCTACAATGTCCACCATACAAGTGACAAATGACTTAAAACAAATCAGATCAGTTAAATCAAAGAAACCAAATCAGTTTGGGTGGCATTTCATGCAAGACTCCCGGGGTGAAAGTACTACACTTGAGCATAAGTAATCACCCACTTACTCAAATTAAAAAATCAGACACAACCTCTCTTCTTTCTATTCATAAAATCCAGAATATCACCCTCTTCACCCATTGTAGAAAATATCAGCCTTTTCTCTTCATAGTGACTTAACCAAAAGCCACTATAACTGAAAGCCGCCATCACCACATCAAAATTCCAACCATCCATATATGCCTTAAAACCTTGTCTTTCTACTTGGAAACTTTTTACCTTCACCATCCTCACTTTATTCAATGTTGCAGACCTCAAGCTAGTGAAGCTCAGGAGAAAGTTACCATTTTCAGTCTAACGGTAAGATAAATTGCCACGTTTCCTCATGCAATAACATTCATAATACATTGTTCCTTTATCATAAAAACTAATCCAAGATATCTAAAATTAGTTTCATTGCTTCCTCAACTTATCACATTTTTTGTTCTGAATTTTAAGGTTTAGAGTAACACTACGAAGCAAACATAGAGCATATAACACAAATAAGATTCGATCAAGAACACAGAGATGTAATTTGTTTCAAAGGAAATGCAATCTACATTCTACTATAAAACTTTAGCAAAGATATCAACCAATTGAAGTTTGGTTTCAATAAACTTAACGCAATGTTGGATTGAATTCCTTGAAAAGTTTATTGCACTTGTGTTGTTAGAGAAAATTGGATTTAGAGAGAAATCTTCCATTTCATGGTTGATCACAAACTTTGAGAGCAACAACTTGGTCTGGAAACATATCCAACTTCTGACGGTGATAGGCTATTGTGTTTTGCTTTCTGCTTGACTAAGTGATTAAGGATTCACCAAGAAATTGGCTCCACCACTTGTGCGCTTTACCTCAACAGTCTCTACCAATATCAACTTCACAGTAACCTACAAGATCAAAGCTTATGTCTTTCTTATACATAGGCTAAGATTAGTAGTGCCAACTAATTGTAGTTAATAAGTGCAATTTATACATTAGTTTATAAGTTGCATTTGCATTTAAATCATACATAATCATGTATCTAGATTAGTTTTTATCGTGCATTTCATTCATTTTAGCTCAAGTTATTACTACTGTATGTTTAATATATAGGAAAGTTGATTTTGGAGGGGAATCTTGAAGAAATAATGATGCTAGAACAAAGAAAGGAAAGCTCAGACCACTTTGGTGGTACAAATTTGAAGAAAAGCTTCATTGTAGAGATCACAACCTACCCATTTTGAAGAACACTATCTATGTTTCATTCTGGTTCAAGAAAAATCATTGGAAAAGACAACTAGTTTGTGATTTGAAACACAAGTTGCGTTCCTTACTATTTAATTGGCTCTTTACTGGCTTTACTTTAAAACTGTTAGGCCAAGTGGAGTTCTAAAACCACTGCCTTTTTAAACCCTAGTAAAACATAAAAGAGGGGATCCTCACTTTGGCAAGCCGTCGAGACACTTTCAAAAAGATCAAACCGAAAACAAGGACCTTTGTTGGAGATTCTTGAAGGCATATCCGAGACACATTTCTAAGAGTAGAGATTAAGATATTTCGTCTTTTGTACTGCAATTATTTTTTGTTATTGTGTTTCCACCATGTTTAGATTCATTCACGGGACTTGGAATCCAAAGATGATTGAGTAGTTTTCTTATTTTAGGGATTGAGAATAACTCAAATGAAAAATGATCATGATGTTTTGAATAGTTTATGATTTTTGGCTAATTTTGATTGTTTCAATTCAATTTTTGGCACTCTTAGTACTTGCAATATTGTCATGTCCCTTATTGACATGATGTTTGATGTTAAGAGAAGGATTGAAAGGTGAAACTTGGTATTAGATTAAAATTTTAGATTACAAAATATACTAGGTTTCTTGAAAAGGGCTCCCTTATTTACGTGATGTTTGAAGTTAAGGGAAGGATTGAAAGGTGAATCTTGTGACTATAAATCTGAGTTTAACTTGAAATTCACAAAAATAGGCCATATTTCTTGAAGAATGACCATTACTCTTAATAAATTTAATCAAATAAAATTACCATGACAGTAGGGTTTGTCTAATTAAATATGTTATTGTATCTTGAATGAAAATAATAATCACATTAGATAATTAATTTCAATATTAAATCAAGAATTAACAAGAAGGTCCATTTTGGTAAGTTTATTAATTTTAATATGTGGTGGAACTTGTTAATTGTAACATTCCAGATTTTTTTGTAATAAAATTTTAATATGTTAGTATAAGTGTATATGTGTATTTTCATGTGGTTGTATGTTTGATTCACGTATATGATGATGCATATGAATGTGTATGGATAAATATGGATTATAAGAGTATATATACATACATATATATATATATATATATATATATATATATGTGTGTGTGTGTGTGTGTGTGTGTGTGTATGGAGAAAGTTGGACTGTGGCTAAATTTTTTTATCAAATTTGGCTAAGTGTTTGGTGTAGGGTGTTTTTGCTATAGCAAGAGGGCCCTGAGAGGAAGGTGTGAAACTGTCACCTTCTCGTTGTAATGAGAGAGCGACAGTTTGGGGTGCATTTCTGGATGCAGTCTCGTTGTAGCGAGAGTGTCGTGACCAGAAAAGGATTTAAGGGGTTTAAGGTTTAGGGGGTTTCATTTCTCATACCTACCTTCAAAATTTCTTCGATCTTCTCAATCCCAAACCCTATTCCACCGATTAAATTGCCTCCAAAGCTATTCGTAAGCTAGATTGAAGGTTGAATTCGTGTTGAAGACGCTTAGAGGTGAGTTTTCATGGTTAGGGTTCTAGTTTCTCATCCCCATTCTCTATTCTCTTGGTTTCCCTTGATTCTCATGAGAACCCGTATATTCAGGCTGAAATTCGTGTGGAGAGTCCTTTTCATCGTTGATTTGTGTGTGAGTCTTCAATCCGAGGTAAAGGGGGACCCTACCCTATCTCAATTTGTTGAAAATACATTTACTTGCTATGTTTTAGTAATGTGATTGAGATAGGATATGTGAACTGGTGTGTTTCGATAGATAATGCATGTTGGGTATGATTTTGATGGTGTTGGACCCTATTATAAATAGATTTGGATAAGGAATTGATGTGGAACATGAATGAGTATGCTTATCTATCATTGATGGATGTAGATTATGCTGAAATTGTTGTGTGTAAGCTGGAAATGTTGTGCGTCGAATGTAACACGAATGAATATGGGCACTTGTGCCGTGTGTGAATATGAATATTGTGTGTGATTGAAATGTGTGTAAATAGGGCATGCTAAATGTCGTTGTAATGATGTTATAAATGGTTCAACAATACACTGAAGGTGTGGAAGATGGGGACGATAGAAATACCTTAGGGAAGAGAGTGGTGGTGACACCAATAGTGAGCGTGGGTGCACCACAGGCCATTCACTCTCCTCTTGACTAGACCTCTGACCACTACCTTTGTCGAACGACTTGTGACCGCGCATGTGGTATCCGTGATGCGGGGGTAATCGATGACCATCCATAGTGTGAATCTGTGATTACAATGCCACAGTGAACGTGGTAAGTGCAGTGAACGCACTTGTGTATGGATTATTGTAGTTGGTGCAGTGAGTGCACCAGTTTCAAAATGAAATGAGTGGCTTGACATTGTTGCTTGTGATTCTACTTGTGTAAAATGTATTAAAAATTATGTGAAATATCTGCAAGGTGAGACTTTATGTTTGTGTGTGTTGGATAGTGTAAAGTACTCACTCTTATATTTATTTGTCAGGTGAACAAGACGATCAGCACCAGACTTAGTGAAGAATGAATGAAACTGCTATAGGACTTAGGAATTTATTTTTAAAATTTGATGTATTCGTTAAAGTCCTGTAGTAAGGATTGATACAAATTATAATCTATCCCTATTTGAAATATTTTATCAAACCATGATTTGAGAACTATTTAAATGAAAATATTCTTATTTCCAATTTTGCAAAATTCATTTATTTGAAAAATTAAATCTAGGTGTTACATTAACAAAGGAACCCATTGTTTTTCATTTTATGTTGTAACAATTAGGGATATAATTCATTCTTAATTAATTAATTGTATATATTTAATAAATTAACTAGTGCGAATCAAGAATTAGAATTATAAGTTGTAAATTAGAATTAATTGCTGTAAAGTGGGGAAACTAATTTCTTTTCAAGTTTCTCTACTTAATATTTTGTCTTTTTGCTTGTAATGGTGTTCCAAATTCGTATAAAGATTGACAAAAAAATTTAGGTTACCCTAATTGTCATTTTGTCTCATATTTTGAAAAGTCAATTATTTGGTAATAAAATTGTCCTTTCTAATTTCTCATTTGATTACACAATTTGCAAACTTGCTAAAAGCAAAATTCTTCCCTT